AGTGTTATGAAATTAATATAATAATATTTATGCAAAGCAGATTTAAAGCAAAATTTTAAATATTTTATAGTTGCATTATTTTAAATAATTATTATAATAAAATGTTATATATAAAATTAAAGTATTATCTTATTAATTGATATATAATTTTTTATTGATGTAACTATTTTTTGATCATTAATTACTTAAAATCAAATTACTAATCTTTTAACCCACCTTTAATAGAATAACTCTTATATATTTACTAATTTTGAAAATTAATGTTAAACATAATTTTCCAATTAGTATAATTAAATTATATTTGTAATATATAAAAAAGTTATTTTGATTTATTATCCTTTTTTGTATGATCGAAAAATTAATTTATATAAAATATCTTGTTTATATAATATAATAAATATTTGTTATATTTCTTTTTTTTATATTTGATTAAAAAAGATCTAAAAGATCTTTATTATAGTAGAACTTAGATGAGAGCTAAAGTTTTAAGATATATTAATTAATATATGAATATTAAAATATATTTTACCAAGTTTTTATAAATTCTAAAGCATTTTTAAGTCTATTAATATTTTTTCTTCTATTACCTTATTTTTTTCTTTTTCTTTTTCTTTTTCTTTGTTTTTATTATCTAATATTTCATTATCTAATAAACTATTATTAATATTATCATCTATTCTAATAGGATTTTACATTAAAAACAACATTTTTTATAGAATTCTAAACATTTAAATTTTTGATTATATTAATTTTGATATATGGGATGAGTGTTGGGAAAATGGATCAAATTGATTTTTTTTTTTAAAAAAAAAGATCCTAAGTAAAATAGATGTAGATTTGGTCATCTGATTCAGATCATTTGTTATTTCAAAAAAACATTTTTTGTCAATTAGCTTTTATAGCTTAAGTTAAGCAATGTTTGGATCATTTTTATCATAAACTTTAAACTTTAGATGGATTATTATTAGTTAAATATAAATTTATACTTTTATTTTAAAGGATTTTCTTTTTTTTCTTTTTTGGTAAATTATATGCCGATCAATTTCATACCAATCAAAATCAATTTTTGTGATTTCAAAAACATTAGCTATTTCATTATTTCATTTCTAAACAGAATTATTACCATTTTGTATAAAAAATAATTTCAACTGCTTAACTTACAATGGTTTCATTAAGAGAATGGAATTCCAAGCTTTTTAGCTGAAATTTGCTGAACTTAGGAGGGAGAAGAGCAGAATCGAGGAGTTGGAGAAAAGTAGCACTGGCGAGAATGCTAGGCGTGCATCGACACACTTAAATTTTTTATCCTGTAATGTCGTTTATCAAAATGATGAGCCAGAGGCTCATCTTTGATTATGCCTTAAAATTTTATAGATATTTATTTATATCGAGCATAAAAATAACTCCTTTACCTTAAAATTTTATAGATAGTTAGTTACATCAAAACTCTTTTACAAGTGTTTTTGATCATTTCGTAGATAACAGAAAATAATCAAAATTCTGAGCTGGAGGCACTTTTTTATCGTTCCTTTGATGATACTAGATAGTGTTCTTTTTTGAAAAAAATATGCTTCCCCCTGATATCTAATCAATTGGCTGATGAATCAGACTTATCTTTAATTAGTCACGATGTTGGTATCAACCGTGAACAACTTACACGATCAAGAACAGATTTTATTAGAAGACCCTAAATATAATATGAAGATTTAATGAGGATGATTCAGGCTTTAAAACCGAATTCTACAAGACTTATCACAAGGATTTTTGGTGGACCCTATAGAAGAGATTTCTATTGATATTGATCCTTCTAATTAAGCAGGAAGAAATTTCGTCTTGGGGTCGCTACTCTGAAAGATTCGAAGATAAAGTCATGAAGATAGAAATCTGAAATATAAGACTACGAAAACCCAGATTTATAATGAAACATTGAAGACATTTCTGATGATATTTGCTCAAGATAACGAGTAATACAAGGAATCTATAAGTTATTAGATATAACTATGACCTCGTAAATCTGGTGTAGAGTGGCACTTGGTTAATCGGGTAACTCCTTCTTCAAAATGTCATCAACTTCTTCAAGCACCGTCTGGGAATTAGTGCGTAGGAATTTTTGAAATAAAATTAATAAAATAACATATATCTCAAGTTACCAACAACTCATATTTTTTTTTCCTATAGATCTTCATACTCCAATCAACCGTAGGAAAAAAAATGGCACCAGAGGTTCCGATTTTACCGAATTCTACAGATGTTCTACGACCTGATGTTCAGTATCCAATCTTCCACCTAGCACCCCAAATGTATATATTATTATAATACTTTAATAATATACGGATATTTGACAATGATGGAGATACGGTGGCGAAGTGGCGTTATAACAATGCTAAAACGGACATGCCCTGGATAACAAATTCCTATGAGGAATTTAAAAATGAAGTTAATTGGGATGAAAAACAAATTATAGGCGCATTGTTTTGTGTCGAGAATTATGAAGCTGTATTCATGTAAGGATTTCCTCCACCCAAGAATAATTGTTGAGATACCTAACACTCAAGATATTAATTCCTGGAACATAAAATGAGACATGGATGCGTGAACAATAGCGCTGAATCGCATGAAAATAAAATAATCGTATATAGTTCCCCATCACTAGCATCATTACCCGGGTTTTATGTTCGAACTTTTATCTATTTCAAAGTTTTGCAAATAAAAAAGATTTAATACAGCATATGATCTCTTAGCCAGTAATGATATTTTCCTATATGCTAAAATTTTTGATCGCTAGAGAGCAATCCAGGATTGGGATCGGCAAATTATTTAGACATTAGGACTTTCATGTTTTGTGATGATCGTAGCTGTTCTTGTAAAAAAAAAAAATCTTTCAAGCTAGCGCATTCTAACACTGCCAATTCAATCAATCGAACTCAAGCCAATCTATCTTTCGCGCATAAAGTCACTAATCGAAATACAAATTTCGCGCATAAAGCAATCATTCGAAATTAGCAATGGAACACTATTACGCTCATGTCGATCAATTTTTTTTCGTGGAGTGAAGAAGTCAATTCTTGGATTGTGGGCGTAATTATGAAGTAATTTTCATCTATGGAACTTGCAGTAGAATTCACTCTGATCTTCACGAATAGTTTATTCTCGAACTTTCCCGCATGTACCATAGGGTTCTATTGTAATAAAACAAATCCACCTGATTTACCTTGTGTAAGAATGCATGCCAGATTTTCGTGACGTTATTTATCATGACAATTCTAAGATCATTTCACTACAAAACATATAGAAAGGAAAACTTCCCCAGTTGATCCTTTTATCAGTTCTGCTTCAACGGAAATTCTAATAAAATTTCAAAATTATCATTGTAACCAATATATCAAAAATCATGAATTAATCTTATAAATAGTGTCATTTATTAAATCATAAAAAAAAAAAAAAGTACACGAATATTTTTAAGATATGGGAGGTGGTCAGTAGAAAAGGGGGGCTTAAAAATACATCTATCAAAAACAACTAAACTATTTGTACATCCCATTGAACTAGAAATTTATAATAACAATAAGGTCATTTCAAGGTCATTTGCCAACACCGCCATCCTTACTTATTAATTTGCGTTTAGGAAAATTTTGAAAATTTCGCATTTTTACTCAAGGCAAATAAAACTTCAAATTCCATGCCTTGGTCTTCGATTTGTGTCCAGGTTTTTCTGTATTCTACTTTGAAGTTTTTTGTTTTGCCCGACCTGACCGGCTTATAGAATTGTCGGCAAGGATCGGGCAATGCTCCCTGCCGACGTTAGAATTGTCGGCAAGGATCGGGTAAGGGTAACCTGCCAAATGATGGTAAGGTTCGGGTAAGAATACCCTGTTGGGTGGGTAAGGGTAACCTGCCGAATGATGGAAAGGTTCGGGTAACAAGTGTAATTTTCATTGGGGTTTTTTTTTATTAAAAAAATTTTTTTTTTTGAAAAATGAGATTTTTTTTTTTTTTTTTTTTCGCAAAATAAAAAACAAATTGTGTTCATTAAATATCGATTTTTACAGAATATTTTGGAAAGAAAGTTATTGTTTGAAGCATGTGTAAAATTCCTTGGCGTTTTGTTGTTTTGCATGCATGCCCCCTTTCTATTGCAAAGGTCCTACTTGCAGCTGCTGATTATTGGTTCAATCTTATCAATCTTATGTGTGTCCAAAGCCACAAATTCTGTCAAACAACATTGTGTTCGCACTTCCAGAATATATAAAATTGTATTTTTGTTTTATTTTCAAATAACTACAATTTCAAATAACTACAATTTAAAATAACTACAATTTAAAACTATTTTTTCAAACTAAAAAAATGTTCAATTCTATAATTATCCAAACTCAAACCTTACTTATCCCTAAGAACCTTTTCCAACTTATGGCTTTTATTCTTTTCAAAACGAAATTGGGGAACCAGAAGGTTGAACCAAAGGAAGTTGGAAAGGAGAACCAAAATAAACTTTGGTTCTAGTTGAAAATTGAAAAGGATGACGCTTGTCTCCTTAATATTCTGGTGAAATGGGGCCTACAGATTTTGGACGGAAAATCTCAACTATCCTAATCTATTTTCTCTTTTCTCTTTGCGTTTATGGACAACACTAATTGGATATCCGTTTCACAACAAAATTCTTGCAGTAGCTGATGATTTCTATAATTTGACCCGTGCTCCCTTACATTTGTAATATAATTTTAGATTGGTCTGGTGGTTGTCCTGGAGGTGGTGGTGGTGGGGGTGGGGGTAGTTGTTGATGGTTGTAGAATTTAATAATTTTTAATTAATGAGTAAATTTGTAATATAGATATTTTTTTAAAATAAAATTTTGTTGAAATTTTTTTTAATTTTTTATATAAAAGTAAATACAATGTGAGACAAAAAAAATGAGAATTATAAAATCGATCATTTGATTGCAAATCATGTGAAATTTTACAGTATTTTAAAGCCGGAGATCGGCAAACTTTATTAATAAAAAATTAATATGAAATAAGCTCGCCATTATTTTCAATTATTAATTCACAATGATGTCTCATCGAGTTTGCGAGACTAATTAGAACAGTTTGTGGAATTTTTTGCCATTCCTCCACCATAAATTCCTCTAGATCACTAAGATTTTTTGGCATCCGTTTCTCTACAATTGCCCAAAGATTTTCTATTGGGTTTAAATCAGGACTATTGGATGGCCATTCTAAACCTTCAGGGAACTTTTCTTGGAAAAAAGCCTTAGCATGACGACTTGTGTGCTTCGGATCATTGTCCTGCTGGAAGCGCCAATC